ATATACTACGTTTACTGGCGTATTACCCTTCGCTGAAATGGGACAGGACCATGAAGTGTAGTATTGAGCACACTCACTACGTGACTTTTCCATTTATTAAAACTGTTTATAATATGTCAATAAAGGGTTCGAAGACATAAAACGAGAAGCATCAATGCGGCAGCCTACATGTGGATTTATACATTACAGCTAAACAGAATAGGATAGGATAAACGTCAATGCACTAAAAACAAACCTAACTATATATTAACCGAGAACCTAAAAGTTTTATGGCAAATAACTTACCTAGCGCCTACCTGGCCTTCGGAATACTTGTTGTGGAAGGACGAGGATAACGCAGCCATAACGGCCCCGCTCACAAAGTTTTCAGATGCGATAAGCTCTAGACCTTCCTTCTGTCGCTTTTGCTCTTTAAGGCATAAGTCATAAATAACAGGATCAGTGGAAGACAACATGATTAGCGGACAACAAGCCAAATGATTAACGACCACCGCGCGAGAAATAACTTTGACCGGGTTCATGCTCAAGGTTGTTTTATATTTGTCACGGGGCAGTTAAACAACGTACCGCCAACGTCTGGAAATAGCGAAATGAGTTTATTTGTCAGTTTAAAATGTTTTTAATTTTTCCTGCCCCAAAACGCCCGAAGTTTTCACTACCAGATACATATTAATGCCTTTTTGCTGTGTGCGTTGAGCGGTAGTGCCATCACGCTGTCGGTTGGATGGTAGTTGTACGTACGGAGATGGTAGTCGGCAAACTTTAGTCAAATGTAATTCAGGATCAATCTCTGAGGCCACGTTTAAAGTCGGTGCAGACAATTTCAAGCAAATTTTGGTTATTGGGGCCTTTAATGACTTGGCAGACCTTAACATCCTCGCCAAACGGGATCTTACCACAATTGAGTTCCTGAAGATTTTGTTTACCAAAACAATGCAAAGTAAGGGCCCAAGAAATGAAGCTCGAAAAAACCACAAATCAAGTCCATCCAGTCCTATTTATTCTCACTGATGCCGGCCCGTCGATAATGACAAAGCGAAATGCATCTATCTGCTTCAGATCCTTTTCACTGATTAGAAGAGAACTCATTGTATGTAAAAGACGTTGGCCAGGAGCAAATTCCAAAGCTTTGCCAAAATATACGTACAGTTCGTTTGCCTCTAGATCATCTTCTGAAACACTGGTCCAAAGCTCTCTCAATAAACTTAACCAAACCGAAACCAATAGACTTGAAAGGAAGGAGCGTCCTCTACAAGGAAATCCCTTTTTTTCAAGAAGGCTACGTAGACACGTGAGTCTACCTATGCTTGATTTTATCTTGTTACCTTCCATATAAAGTGGAGCCGTGCATGCTGACCTCCAAGGCGAACCTCAGCTTTATTCCCTCATTGACAGAGAATGAAGTGAACGGATCGGCGGTACACTAAAAGCCGCGGTTTGGAAGGTTGCCAACTGACAGGATAGCCCGGACCACGCG